CTGAACCAGACCCCCGTGACACCCCGTCCCGCTCCAGGACTCAGCACAGATGGGCACAGCTTGTGAAACCAGAGGACAAAGTTCTAGTCAGCCAGGAACCTGGGGATGATGTGAGGGCTGGAAGGGCCATGCAGCTTCTCCTCTTTTGGCCCCTGAGCCAGTCACCGCCCCTCTGTGGGCCTCTGTCTCCTCCTGTGGGACAAGGAGGGATGACCATTCTGTGCTGCAGGTCTCACAGGGTGCCCACAAGGTTCAGGGAGAAAAGAACTGTGCAGAGCTTTCCGACACTGCATCCTCAGGACAACATGGAGTTCTCAGAAGAGGAAATGAGGCTCAGGAAGGCCAGGCCCCAGGTCACTTACACAGTGAGTGTTGGAGCTGGGGCTGATCTAGAATCAGAGCACACTGCAGTCCGAGTAGTACTGGAGTGAGTGTTGGCTGGGGCTGATCTAGAATCAGAGCACACTGCAGTCCGAGTAGTACTGGAACCAGCTGACTTGGGTCAGATGTCTGGGGTCTGAGGTCAGGAGTGGTGGTGGGAAATGAAGTAAGGAGAATATGGCCTCACAGCGCTTGTTCTCGACCCTGGCAGGAGCTGTTCTCCAAGTATGCGCCTGATGATGGACCTCTAGGAAGCTCAGAAGAGCCTGCAGAAAAGGAGAGTGAGCCTGTCTGGCAGGCACTCCAAAGTCAGAGGAGAGGGAGCTCTGCCTTCCCAGTTGGAGGCCCCCAATGCAAGAAAGGGAGGCCTTCCTCATCCAGCCCTGCCTCCTGTTGTCACAAGCTGGAAAGCCTCCAGTAGGAGTGACCAAGAAGAGGAACTGGAAGAGCTGGATATGGGATGGGTATGGGGTTAGAGCTGGGCATGGGACCACAGGCCGTGCTGTTTGCCAAAAGCAGGCCCTGGGAGGTGATCAGGTGGTATCTGGTGTTTGGGGAGAGTCGGGGGGAGAGGGGTCAGGTGAGTCTCTAAGGGCCCTGAGCTACTCCACCTGTGAACCCTAGGGTGGGCCAGGGGGCTGAGGGGGAGTCGCTTTCAGTGCAGGGGCTGTGTGGGCACTTGAGAGCAAGGTTTCATCGTACCCTCGCCCCAATAGCACAGTGTGCCCCATTCCCTGTACTGTTCTTTAAAGACTGGAAATGCTGGAAACTTCGAGGGAGGATGTGGAAGTGAATGGCCTAGGGCCCGGGCAGGTGCGGCCAGGGTTGTCATTTTGGGGAAAGAGAGCTGCAGGATTGAGCCTCGAGCCCTCAGCACTTGACAATCCTCCGGTCCTGAGAGTCTCATGCTGTCCCTGGGTGTTGAGGCGTCATGCATGCCCATGTGAGGGATGAGTACACGGAGGCTCCACCTGAGGCACTTGTTCCAGCTGCAGGCTGCTGAGGCAGCAGAGATTTCTGAATGCAAAGCTGTATGACGACTTGACTGAGCTGGAGTTAGCCTCTACCTCGTGCTGCGCCCATGGAGGTTGGGGGCAGAATGAAGTTGGGCCCATCCCACATAGGAAGCATGTCAG